TAACTCCTTCTAAACCCTCCTTCATATTTATGTTATGCATTGCTTAGACCTTCAAATTTAACTACCACCTTTTCTCATTCCACTTTTTAGTGCTCATTATTGTAAGAAAAATTAAATAAACTTTTTATTAATTCTGTAAGCTTTTCTTTAGCTAAAAAATGATAGGAAGAAGGTACAAAAATTGAAATATTTGAACATGAACAGGCTTTATTGAAAACGGTACTATGCAACTCAATTAAACTGAAAATAAATATCATATTTTTTGTTTACTTTTTCAATATCAGCCTCATAGTCTTTAACACTGCATGGCATAGTTAAAGGAGTGATTGCAATTTCAAAAAAGAAAAATATGATCGTTATATTGTTGAAACCTTAAAAACGTATATGGATGCTTTTGGTTGAATGCCTCGAGTGTTGTGAAATGTCATGATAAATAAGATGTGTGTGAAATGTATGGTGATAATGATAGCATACATGATATGATTAATAAGATTTGGAACACCAAGAACATGTACTTCAGACTACATTTCTACTCAATATATATGAGGAGTTTCCATCGACAAGGTTCAAGAGACTTGATCCATTTGTAAATTAGTATAATATTCATACACCGTCATTATAAAGATTTATACACAATCACTATATCATCCAACATTTATTTAAATTAATTTTTTGAGGAATCAGTGATAATTAAACATAAATAGTTGATAATGTATTTGACTACCTTGGAAATCATCATGAATTAATAGTAGCTAGGAGGGTGTAGACTTGGTTACAAAGTATGCAAGCATAAATATACATATTAAAGGAGTAGTAGCAAAGGATAAACAGATAGAGGATCTGAAACTAAATTATATCTTGCCACGTGGACCAAGCTTAGGTGGAAGTTGTGGGCCCTTCTTGATTGGTAGAATGTCACCAGAAGCTGTAGCACTATAATATGCAAGTGTTGAACCACCTCCTAATATCAAAAACTTGAGTAACAATCCTCTCTTTGTGAAGGGACTAGCAAATGTCTCAAAGAACTTGCTCTGCATATATCCATATAGAAAATGGGTTTGAAAAGCTTCCATATTTTCAATCAAATTACTATTTTGTGTAAGGATTTAACAAAATTAGAGCCCTAGTCCAGCCCTACAATTATAGTGTTCTACAAATGTAACCTTACCCTTAAACGTAAGACCTTAAGGTCATAAAAAACAAAAAATCTTACTGTTGTGGATAGGCTCAGCTCACCTATGATTTAGAGAATCTTATACCAAGTGCAAGACTTTTCACCCTAGTTCAACTCCCAACATAAGCATTCACAGTTACATCATTTATTTAACTTGTATTTTAATTTTTCAGTTTTGGGTTAAATGAAGATGCAAACATGCAAAGAGGAGAAGAACCTGAAGAGGGTTGTAGGGTGAAGGTGCATCTGAGCCATACAAATCCCATTGGCCTGTAGTGTTTCCCAGATCCTCTAAATCAAAGTACACACTCTTGTCTCCATACTTTGCTACCACAGCACCACTTCTGTTATGTTAATTAAGCTTTCACATATAATTAGCAACCAACATAAACCTTAAACTGTTTTCTTGGACTTCAGAAAACATATAAAAAGATAAAGAGCATACCCATATGTTAAATTTAATTAATACTCTTATAGTTACGTAACAATTTGTTTAAGGTACCTGAAATTCTTGGGTCTGAAACTGAGGCAAGAGGACTTGCAAGAGAGCTTAGTCCCGGTAAGGGAACTTCCAGAAAGACCATTAATAGGTGGTAGTTGAACAGCAGCTAAGGTTGCCATAGAAGCCATGGTTTACACTTGTACCTTTATGTGACCTTGTGTATGATCAATTTGACAAGGGGTCAGAAATGTTGTGGCTTTCAATATAATATTACTTTGAATCTCATCTCAATTGCCACATGGCAAATTTCATTTTCTTGTGTGCATATTTGGGAACTCACTTATAACAAGCCACGTGGGTTGATGATGGATAAGGCTATCCACATTGTTCTCTCACCAAAAATCAAATTTACATATAGTTTCAATTAAATGAAATATCAAAGTATTACAATTCAAATAAATAAGAATATAATAAACCTTAAATAATATTAATATAAGAATATAATAAACCTTAACCAATGTATCTTGAATTAAATTTATCTTGAATTTAAATAATAATGATGTATCCTCTTATTGTTTTAGTTCATTTTTTTAGCAAATTATACTAACTACTAACTTTTTTCTATGGTTTACCCAATGTAATACTTATATATTAGTGATAATTTATTTATAAAAAGTATGTATTATGTATAATTTCAACAACCTTAAATAATATAATATAATTTACTTTAATTTTCATTTCCCACACTTCATTTGAAATATGTATCCTTAGCATGTTCGAAAGAATTGAGTTGATTAAAAATGAGTTATTTATTAGTCTTTTAACAGTTTGCACCATGAAGAAGCTGGGATACTGTACTGAAAAATCAAAAGTTAGCCCCAACCCAAATAAACCAAACCCACCCAATGAAAAAAGGAAATAAAAAACCTAAGAGTGATGGTTTTTTAACAAGCCCATCTCAGACTCAACCCACCTCAAAGGGTTTCTATTATGTGAAATTGTGAATGCTGTGTGTTTCTGATTTTGATTTAAAGTGTGAAGCTACGAATGCGTATTGTTAGGAGTGTGATAGTGAAAGCGTTTCTTTTGTGAATAGTTTGAATCTAAGTGATGGTAACTTGTTTATGAGGGTGGTACACGATGGATTATTTTGGACTTTCTGTTTGGTCATTTTTCTAATAAGAGATAGGAATCTATGGGCTTCTATATGCTGCAAAATTTTATTGTTGGAATTTAAGATGTGTCTATTTTTTTTCCCTTATCACTTCTATTCAGTTTTGTATTGTCTTGTTTCACTTGTTGTTTATTCTCATTATTAAGTTCCACTTGACTTGTAGGTGATGGTTTATTGTAAATAATGTTGGTAATTTGATTTCCATTTTCTTGACAACTACTAAACTATAAACGTGTGGTGGTAATTTGCATGGGAGGCCGGTGATTGAGTTAGTTTTAGACCGAAGAGGTGAGCCTTAATGCAATGATAAGGTTGTTGCACGCCCTTTGATCTGGAGGTCATATATTCAAATTATGGAAACAGTCTCTCCGCTTATCGTGATAAGGTTTCCCCATACCATACAAGTTGGAGTGCACCCTTTAGTGGTAGATCGGGGATGTGGAATAGATGAGCAAAAAGGGCAAGAGAGAAAAATTGAAGGAAGAGGGAGATGTACAAAAAAGAGAGGAAGTAGTACCAATGAGGATTAAGAAGGGAGAAATAGAACTTTAGGGACAAATGGACAATTATCAAAGTACTTATCAATGCTCAAATAGGCAAAACCAATTTGATAACCAAGAAACCCAGAATGACTAAAAACCTTAAACAAAACAAATTATTGAAAGTACCCTAGTAGAGTAGTAGTCCAAAAAAATACTAAAAGTTCCAACATTACATTGATTCCCATCATCCCCAGTATATTATTTGGTATTACCATATAATCACATTCTATTTCCCATTTGATTCCCTATCAACTGATAGTTAGTTAAACTCTACCTTGTTGTCTGTTTAAACTTTAAACTGCCAAAATACCTTATAAAAAAAGCCATTAAGAAGCTAATAGTATATCAACCTTTCATTCATAATTTTAAAGCATGATCCACCATATTTCCTACACTAAATGGTATATTCTGATTGCAGTTTTTAAATTTTTTTAATGATGAAATTTTCAACATGTGTATTTTATTATTCTAGATTGGAAGTTAAAGTGCAGTTGCCCAATGTAGGATCTACTACACCATTCTGAAGTCATAGTCATAATTATTTGAATGATTTTATCTGTTACTGTCACAGTTTTGCTTGATCTTTACCTTCTGTGCATAAGTATGGTTTATGTTAGTAATACTGCTTTCTGTATAGAGCATTATTTAATAGAATTCATGATAATGTACTCCTTAATTAGTTAAATAAACCCTTTCAATTTGTCATTTTCTGGTGCCAACTCTTCACACTTCCAACAGTGTTCAAAATTTTAATATCCGTGGAGGGATTAAATGGTTTGGACATGTGAGGAGACATCAATAGAAACCCCAGTTGGGAGAGGGATGATCGGAGGGAGGATAATCCCATAATCAGGAGAGGGAGACCAATAAAAACTCACGGTGGGATGATTTGGGAAGATTTAGAACATAATGCCGACATTTGATTTATGTACCAACGCCCTTGGCGGGAAAAAGGTATTGATTGTTGTTATTGTAGTAGTAGAGGGATGAAATGAGGGATAGAGTATGTCCAAAACTCAAAAGTCCTCCATCAATTAAATTATTACTAAGATGGGACAAATAGAGATGGGGAGTATATCTCTTAATGGGTACATACATGACCTCATTTCAAGTAATGGCTGTGGTGGCAATGGACACTGATGACAAGTGCATTGAAGTGTTAAAGTACCCATAAATCCTCTTTAGAACACTGTACTCCATGATTTCCTAGTGCGTTGATTCAATTTTACTATAAATTATGCATTATGTGATAATACTGTATGGTGTTAACTTTATAATATGATGTAAGCCTTAAACAAGTGCCAATTAGTATATTGGAAGATGCTCATTATGTTTAATTTGAGTGAATAAGCTCTAGTTGTTTTGATCCTTGTTGTTTTTGGACTGAATAACTTTTTCCAATCCATGTGGGGATATGCAATTTTCACTGAGGTCCTAGAACTAGTGATTTTAAGTCTACCTAGTTAAGCTGAATCTAAAGTGGAATGTGCAACTGCTAGCAAACAAATTTCTAGCCCTTTCTGTCTTATATGATTTAAGGCTGGTCCCTTGTTTTGGCTATTGAAGTTGCAATTCTTTCTGTGCACTTGCCATGTGATAGTTCCCATGACTTCAAATAATAAAAGGAACAAGTTTACTTACTTATTTTCAGAGACAAGATATCTGTAATAATGAGGATGAAGATAACAGGATCAGTAAGTTTTGCAGCTTTTGATGATATGGATCATGCAACCATGAATGGCTGCGGCTATGGCCGAAGATGAAGTAAATGATATGGAGTAGAGCATCCAAGTAGTAATCGTTGTTACATGTAAGCATTATGCTAATATGTAGTTTATCTATTTTTCAGCTATGCAATTGTGCTGATTCTTATGGACATTAGTGTATTTTCTCAGTCACTAAACCTTGCTTTTCTTGTACTAATTAGCTTCTAGTTAAGAGCTATGAAGAGTTATGGATTCTTATTTTTCTCTTTAACTTAATCAAGTTGATTCTTTTTCTCCTATTATTATTGCCACTCTCATATTTAAAGCTTGTTTCCACCTTTTGTGACCCAAAACTTGTAATACAAGAAACGACAAAGGCTTCAAAACAAAGAAAGCAAGATACTTCTTTCCTGTGGGATTTTTTGGTGTTTCTGTTTTTGCTTTCCTTAGTGAAGGAACAAAAAAGTGCATGGAATTTAAGATGAAAATAAATATAAAGTAGAGAGAGTTGTGAAAGTAACCTCAAATCAATTAATGATGTACTTTGTTAGGTTTGTGCACCAATCATGTGATTGCTTCATGTTATCTACCGTTCCCAACCACCAAAACAAGTAAACAATTTGGAAAGTAATATATATGCATGCAACAACAAAAATAAACAATTTAGTGTCCAATTTGTTTCTTCAAATATTAATTTAGTCCTTGACTTTGAAAAATGCAAATCTAGTCCTTGTCCCATTGGCATAAGTATGTCATCAACTTGCTCCTTATTTTTTTTCTATTACTCACATGAATGAGATTTGGTTTTATACCATACATATAAATCTAGTGAAATTTTATACTACTACATTATCATTCCTTCAAAGTATAGAGTATTAAATAATGTGGTCCATCTTTGTTGTCCCAACATTAACTATGATGAAGATTTATATCTTGCATATCAACAATATAAGGACAGTGAGTAATTAAGAGAGAAAGAAAGAAGAATTTAGGGCTAATGAATATTAGCATCAATTAGTTGCAATAAGTGATATTTGACACTACTGGTGATTAAATAACTTTGTGTCTCACTATTTCATTTGCAAATTGCAACCCCATCACTAGCATTTGTTAAACGTTTCCTACCTAACCTGCCACAATAAATATTTTGAACACTACAGAACAAAACCGTGTTAAATGTGGTCCATATTTAATACATTTTCTATGGATTAGCTACACTCCAGTACCAATTTATGCGCCTCATTATTTGCAAAAGGATACTTTCTTTATTTACAGAATCAAAAAACTTTATGAAAAATATGACTTTTTTTTTACATGAAAGTATCAAACATCGTTCCTCAAATTATGATTATTATTCTTATTTGTATTAAGATAGGGGATTTACTTCCTTCAAAGGTAAGTTAAAAAACTTATTCTATATCTTAGTCATATATTCTATAAAAATCTAATGGTTCAAATCTACTAACTAATTTAAATCATGTGAATTATTAGATTTTCCATAAAATGAACCTTAAATAATACTTTAAAAGTATAAATTAAATAATAGTGGCCACTTTATAAATTTGAGAGATATAAACTTTGTTTTATGGAGAGTCTATATTTCTGGAGGTGGACAAAATCAAGTTTTCTCATTTATATGTAAGAAAATAACTATTAAGAAGTAGGGTATGTAGAAGAGTGAGGGATATATAACTACTTATAAATTAGTAGAATAATGAATGGGTTGGATGCAAATACATTATATCTTAAATGAGAAATATTCAATGATATACGGACACGAAGGAAATGAATGAATGAAATATAAATAAAGCAATTGAAGACAGTTTATAGATGTGATTTAACTTGCCACATCATTTTCAATACTTGTCCTAGATAGATGGCTGACTCTCAAGTGGAACTAAATCCCGTATATAATGTTTATGATAGTTTCTTTATTTTCTATTCTTTTTATTCTTTTTAATATGATGGTCAACTTAGGATAGAATGACCGTTGAGTTACAGGGGCAAATTGCAAAACAGTAAATTACGTAGGTTATACCTTTTATTTGAAGGAAAAAGCAAAACTTATAACATTTGAATGTATAATATTTATTATTCATTTGTATTAATTATATTTAAAATTTAATGATTATCAAATATGAGCGTTATAACAGAATAGAAAAATGTTCTTCAATTTTTTATTTTCTATTTTTATTAATTTTAAATACTATCAATATACATAAGTCTCTTTTGAATATAAAAAATATCAATTAAAAATTTAATTAATATTATAATAAATTATATTTTAAAATTATAACATTTATTTTTAATTACTAATAAAACAATATTTTTTATCTATTTTCTTTATTTTAGGAACACTTTTTGTCATTTTAATCATAACATCATTTCACTTATTATTTTCCATCTCTCACATGTTTCTAGCGATTCACATGACATTATCAAATGATACAAGTCTTGGATAAGAATCTACAATGCACTAGAACGCTCTTGTTGACGATCCTTTACTCCGACAACATCTATGGTTCCTTGAAAAATGCAATATCTTACATCGGGTAAATCCTTAACCCTCTCTCTCTAACTTTATGTAAAGTAGAGTTTGGTTTTTTTGGGGTGATAGTGGAAAAGTTGACAGATTAATCACTTTTATTGTCGCTCTATAGAACCCTGCATGATAAAAGATTAAGAGAAAAAAAAATATTTTTATTTATTTTCTCACATTATTCTCTTATATCAAAGATCACAAAAGTCTATTCTATTTATCATCTTTCTCATTCTCACTAGTTTCTTTTTTGTTTCTCTTCTTATTTTCTATTGTGCAATAGAATGTTAGTTGGCTCTTTTCTCACATTCTCATCTCTATCTCCTATCTATATCTAACAGTCAACCCTACCACCCTCCTTTCCATGCCTCTCATATTTTACGCAACCAGTAAATAATAAATTTAAGACGATAATATTTATGTAATATTAACATAAAAATTTATATAGAGTTGCTATGTTATTTATCATTTATTTTAATTACATTTTTAAAAAATTAATAATAATTAAATAATATATAGTTAGTCGGTGTATAAATCTCTTGTAATGTTTACATCTTTTTATTTAAAATTAATACGAAAAGACAACGGAAATAAAAGGGAAATGTATATTTCTACAATTTCTATCCCATAATTTTTTATTCTTTAAATCCAAACCGTGTATTATTTGTTTATTATTATTTTCAAAGAAAATATTAATTTTCATAACCCCCTATATACACCCAGGTCTAAAAATTTAGATAAATAAATCAGATGCAAAAAACAAAATAAAAACATTATCTATATATTTTTCTAGACCACCATATATTCTTTTAAGCATATTTGAGTGAGAAACATATACGGTTAATTCTTCTCTGAATTTTGAATTTTTGTTTAAATCCACAAAATTTAAACCTAAAAATGACTCTCACTCATCTCCATTATAGGAGATGATAGTTATACTTAAGATGTAAACACATGACAAAATCAAAACTTAAATAGTCTAGATTTTTTACATTTTCTAAATTAAAATTTTTAAAAAATCTAATCCCTTCACATTCTCCGTACTGGAGAGAGTCCAGAAGAGAAATTCTATTCTCAAAAACATGGTTGTAAGTGAAATATGTATTTGATAAAATCACATTTGAAAAATAAAATAATTTAAAAACATTGGCGAGTTGTTTGGTTTGATTTTATAATCTTAAATTGAGTAGTCCCTACACACACCTATGTCTTTCCCTCCTTATGTAACAACACATCACCATTTTTGGTCTTTAAAACATAAAACCATTCATCACCACACTCAACGTTGTCAATGTTTGCAGACATGTCTAACAACCCTTCTCCCACTTCTAATACCAACAAAGATTTCTTTTCCACTCCAGCTCTTTCTCTTACTCTTGTAATCTTTCTATACAACTTCATTTTCTTCTGCATTTGTTTACTCTTTTATGTTTACTTTAGCAATTATTCATATCTTTATTAATCAATAATGTTATCTGTCATTTTTACAAACTTCCTCTACAGAAATGATTCACATAAAATTATAGAAATGATTTATCATTTGCTTTACATGGTTTTGTGTTTTGTCTCTATAACTGATTGAAAACTGCGTTGAAGGCTGGGATATTTCGCCATGCTGGGGCGGTGGCGGCGGTGGAGGATGGTGAGGCGGCAACTTCAAACATGGAGGTGGATGAGGGGAGTGGTGGGAAAAGAGAGGGCACAGTTGAGATAATAAGCAGTGAGAACTCGGGGCCCACGAGATCAAGATCAGAGGATGATATTGAAGGAGAACGTGAACATGAAGATGATGATGATGATGATGGTGGAGATGATAATAATAATAAGAACAAGAAGAAGAGGAAGAAATATCATAGGCACACTGCTGAACAGATCAGAGAAATGGAAGCGTACGTGCGTATGATTAATAATACTCACATTTTTTCTCTCACTTGTAGTGTCTTCAATTTTCTATATTTATTCAGAAATTAGTTTTACTTTTACTTGGTACATATATTTGTAAACTTTTTCTGGTCACCAATATGATTTTCAATTTTATTTTTATGTATTATATAGAAAACATGTATATAAAGAAGATAAAAAGCATTTGAGAGGTAAATATATATAAACAAGTATAATGTTACAGTGTAACATTTTGATGTACAAATTACGAATTTGATATTTTGTATGTGTTTACATGTATTTGTCATATTTAAATCTGCAACTACTAATGAACTGATTTCTTCCATAGTTAGATTATTTGCATGCCAGCATTACTACTACATAATTTATTGGCCACGGTTGTGAGAAAAGTTAGTGATATCATATATGCTCATGAAAAGGACGATAATTAAAAGCTGAAGTTAACTTAAATAATTTTTTAACAGCCTTTACTTTATTTGTATGTTTGCTATTTATGACCATATAAAGCACCTTTCCTTTATCTTTCCACATGATTAGTTTGTATTATGTAGAAGCTGTATGTTATGTTTGCATTATTAAACGCCATTTATTGGACCACTCTGCATATATGAATTAATGTACTATTGTACGTAGGCTATTGTGAAAGATGAATTAATCAACAAAAAAAGCTTACATGAATGTACTATATATTATGTATGTAGACTTTTCAAGGAGTCACCACATCCTGATGAAAAGCAGAGGCACCAACTTAGCAAGCAATTAGGCCTTGCTCCTAGGCAAGTCAAGT